TCAAGGATCAGGAGTTTCATGAGTCCAAACTCGAGGCTCGATGGGATTTACCCGTCTACATAAAGGTTGAATGAAAAAACAGAGGAACCCTGTTCTGATGAGCTGAATCCTGTTTTTGTGCAGAGTTTGTGCATCGAGAACGCCTGCATCGCTGCCCACGACAAGACCGGCCGCTTCGCCTCCTTGTTCACCGTGGACAAAGTCCTCGTGCCTCCGATGGGGACGGTCATGGACATCCTGAAGGGGGACGAGCGCTTCAGGTGAGCACCTTCAGTCAGGGTCCCCTGCTGTACGCAGACTGACCCCTACAGGAAAGGAGCTGCAGCAGCACCAAGATGTTTGAGTTTAGAATCATTTTAATAAAAAAGGAAGAGTTAGTGGAGTTTAGGATGATGGTCCTTCACGTTTTTCAGTGAATTATGTCCTTGTTTGTTTCTCCTTTGAAGAATTCAGCATCTTAACATTTATTTAGAGAAGTTTAAACACGTCAGGAATCAGCAGGACCATTTTCAAACTACCATCCGGTTTGTTTCCCCACTTTCCAGCATTCTGGTCGGAGCCATCCAGATGGCAGACATGACGGAGCTGCTCAACCAGCAGGGGGCGCTCACCTTCTTTGCCCCCACCAACCAAGCATTGGTCGGGCTGCCAAAGACAGATCTCGTTGGCCTGATGGGTGAGTTTAAAACGGATCACATCACGTCCTAAATTAAATCCTGAGATCACGATTTCTGATAAAAAGTAGGAAAAAAGTTTTAGCTTCAAATTTTCATTTTCATCATAAAGCGGTTATGAATCATTACATTTTATTTTGGTGTTTTATATTAATTGACAACAGTGTGAAAGTGACTCAGCACTCACACTGTTGTTTTCCTGTTTATACTTTGTACGTTTTTTATTTTTTCAATCAAAGAATTTCAGTTTATTTTGTGTTTTTTTTAACCATTCACTTATCAAAACATCCACCTTAAGCAGAATTTTTTTTTTTTTTTTTACTGATTATATGTTTTGAAATATTAAACTTTATATACCGGTATAAAACATTTCCCATTGAAACGCTTTATCTATTCTTTTCTTTTAAAGATATTGTTCACTGAAATCTACTTCAGCGTAATGCCTCTACTTTAGTCTCCTTATCCTAATTTTAGCTTTTAGCTATGGTTTTGCTACCTTTAGCTTAAAGCATAAATTTAGTTAATTTTGTCTTAACTTCAGATTTCAGTTGTTGTTTTATTCATTTTAGTTTAGTTCTGCTTGTTTTACGAACCCAGATTCGGCTTCTTGAACAAATTTCCACAGCGCTCGAGACACACGCTGCATTTTCTATGAGAAGGCAAATCTTTAGTAAAAAACATGTTCAATAACAATTTACCATATTATTTTTTACAATTTATTTTTAGTTTCAATGTAATGAAACAGGTCTCTCTTGTAAATGAGTCCTCGAGGCTCAGTGAGACTAACCTGAATGGCCAGCGAGGATGCCGTTTCCCTTCCTGTTAGCTCATCTAAGCAGTCAGAACTGTTTAAGTCCAGATTTGGTTCTTTCTTAAATTTAAACTTGCGTCCTGCGCTGCAGCTAATGACGGTGACGATGAAGAACAGACGGGTTTGTTGTTTGGTTTGAGGTTCAGGTGATGGAGAATCTGCAGCTCCGTGTTTGGTCCAAACATCTCAAAATGTTTATGTGACTCTCAGTGGAAAATGTCTGCTGCTGCTTCACATCAGCACCAAATAAAGAGCTGAAAATGCTCAACAACGAGCCGCAGCCTTCGTCCAGCTGCTGACAGATGTATCTCACACCCCAACCCACAAAACCTAAACCTTAGGTGCTGAAACAGAACTTGAAGTCTTGCTCTGTTGGTTCTGCTCTGCAGACAGCAGGAGGAGACACACCCGTATGAACTAAAGGAACGTACCGGGATCATTCCTGTAGTGGCTCGTTCCGGTTCTTTTAACGGTAACAAACTTCTAGAGAAGTGCCGAACCCAAACTCAGGATAAACTGACTGGAAACAACAACTGAAACCCAAAATAAAAACATCAAAACAAACAACAGGTGGAAGGAAATCAGCCAACAGAAAGCAGGTGAGAGGGATAGAGAAAACTGGCTTTTCAAAATAAAAGGAGGAAAATAAACCCAAACCTAGGAAACAAAATAAAAGCACCAAACCCAAACAACAACAACAAAAACGATACGGTTCTGGAGACACACCTGGATCAGAACTAATTTTAAAGACCTCCCACCATAACTCCGCCCCCACCATCCTGCTGCTTTCAGTAACCAATCAGCTCTCAGTGTGACCTTTCACCCGTCTCTGTGCAGATAACTCTCAGCAGCTGTCAGATATGCTCAGGTACCACATGGGGGAGGGCATGCTGGTCAGCGGGGGGATCAGCTCTCACACCCGCCTGAACTCTCTGCAGGGGGAGGTGCTGGAGCTGAGCGTGGTCAGTATTCAGACTCTCCTCTGATTGGTTCTGATAATCAATAACCTGACAGATCGTGTCGTCTCTCTGTCAGAGGAACTTCACCGTCTACGTCAACAAGGTGCCCGTGGTCATCGCCGACCTGATGGCGACTAATGGAGTCGTTCACGCTGTCAACAGCATCATCAAACCTCTGTGTGAGTCTTTCTCTCTCTCTCACACACACACACACACACACACACACACACCTGGGTAACACCTGCTGATGACCTGGTGTTTGTGTCTGCAGCTCCGAAGGTGGACAGAGAGCAGGCTGACGGCCCTGCAGGGGCTCGCAGATCTGCTGCTTCATCCACGGTGAGAAAACAACACAAACATCTTCAAAACAAAATAGGTGATCTGTCAGGTGATCCATCGAGTGATCAGTCGGTTGACCCACTGGGTGATCAGCCAGTTCATGTGACTGACCAGGTTACCTTCATGTGATGAGTCATATGACTGGTCAGGGTGACGAAGAGCAGAGGTCACATCCTCATGTCTTCGTTTCTCCACAGTCTGATGTCTCCTCTCTGTCTTCCAGGTGGACACCACGAGCTTCAGAAACGGTGAGTAAGCGGACTTCAGTCTGAGGCGTGAAGCCGGACCAGGTTCTGGCTGGTCCGGGTTCTGACGCTGCTTGTTTTCCACAGACGAGCTCTTTCAGAAGGTTCTGAGGAGTCGCTCCAGCAGGACGATGAGCAGGAGTCAGTGAGGCTGCAGAGGAGGACGGTGCAGAAGGAGAAACCTGAGTGTTCGCTGACAAATGATGATTTTTAACTTCCTGTGTTGCTGGTTTTAATGTTGTGGAATCATAGTTTTTGTAAAATGTTTTGTACTCGTGACGTCCTGCAGCACGTCCAGACGCAGCGAGCCGCAGACTTTCTGTCACTTTTTGTAAAATAAAGATGAAAGTGTGACTCTGCTTCTTCTGTGTTTTCTTTGCTGCAACGTTCTTCCCATATTATTGGGATTTCTTTGTTACAGACGTTCAATATGACAGAATCATACAAAAAATGACTCTGCTTTGTTGAAGTTGACAATCACAGAGACTAATTTTAAGAACAGTTTTAAAGGGAGACCCTTTTTTTTTTCCTCTCTGTCAACCGGTGGAACCAGACGTGTCTCCCAGTCTCCCCCACCTGCTTCCCTGCTGCACTCTTTTGTCCTGTGAACCCTTAAAAACCTCTTTTTTTTCTGCATACCTCTTAATTTGAAGGATCAGCTGGTCTCTCAACAAAATTGATCAACTTCTGACAGGAGTCAGGGCATAAGGAGGACCCTCTTACCTCGACGGAAACAAATTGGATTCATGATGACAACTGTTTTTTGCTGTTTGGCTGGTGAATTCTGGATTGTCTATAAATTCGTGTGGATGTGTCGAATCTCGACAGCGCTCAGACTGAATTTGTGGAGCTGCAGCAGGGAGCTGGAGCAGCTGTTATCAGGACTGCGGACTCTATAGCAGCACACATGAAGGGGAAATAATCTTGGAGAAGCTGTGAGCTCGACTTTGGCGTAAAGGATTAATTCGGCTGTTTTGGAGTTTCCATCAGAGGAATACGTACCAGCGAGACTTTAATAAGGCAGAAACAACAATTCATGAGTTCTGCCTGACCCAAACTGTGGCCTTGACACCGGACTTATCTCAACTCCTCCTGGAATATTTTGAAAACAACAAAGATGCTTTGACGGTTTCCTCACCACTCCCTTTCCCAAGGCCGTGGACATGTGACAGAACCTCAATTGAGCTGAAGATGAACGTCACCTCTTATCTGGACAATGGCTGAGAGGGGGGGCTCTGGACTATGCTACGTTTTTCTCTTAAAAAATTCAATGTTTTCACCGTCTTATATGTACATGTATAACGTCTATGTTGCTTTGCTGTGGTAGTTTTTTAATGCCTCAAATCGTGCCCTGTCTAGGACACGGCATGAGAGATCTTTTTTTTATACCGTCTCTCCTCATGTTTTTTTCCCTTTTCTCATCTAAGCAAAATATTATTCTGAATAAGAATAAGAAGGCCGCGCTTTCTATAGTTGCAGCTTCGTGCACTCCGCCCATCTTCGGACGACTGTACGTACATGTTTGCGTTGTATATCGGTGCAATGCCAATAAAGTTTTTTATTCTATTCTGATTTCAGCTTTGACTGAAGATTTCACATCAAAATATATTCTTTAGTTAACTATTTTGCTAAGAGACTGACAATATAGGTACTGGCAATGTTTTAAGCCCAGACCTTGTGTGATCACTTATCACTCGAAGTACAACTTACTAATAACTCTCAGGTACTACCACCAAATTTTAGCTCAATGTTTGTAAAAATGACTGAGCCATATTAAATTGTGTCAACTCCAAAAGTTAAGCAATTCTAGACGTCCAGCCAATGATTATTTTCTGAGAGTTTCATTAAAATCCGTTCAGTGGCACATGCCATATTTTGCTAACAGATAAAAGAACACAGCTCCGCAGCGCCATTGATCCTCCTGGCCTGCAGGGGGCGCCGCAGCACTTCCTGTGCATCATTCATTTCCGTCCTCACCAGAACAAAATAGAGTCGGCGGCATGTTTTCCAGTCTGAAGGAGAGAGTTGGGGAGGTTCTGGTTCCTGGAGATAAGTTCAGCTTCGAGGCCGAGGACAGCATCTCTCTGACGGAGAGCGTGAAGCCGGAGAGGGTGGTGTGCGGCCCGGGGCTGCGGCGGAGCGGAGACCGGCTGGTGGTGAGCAAGAGCGGCGTGCTGAGGCACAAACCCCCGCACACGTTCTGGGTCGAGTCCCAGCAGAGGAGGGTGAGTACCGTCCTAACACACAGCCGAATTAATCAGAGAGCCGAACAGAACCGTAGGAACTGATCCGAGCTGTTCTGAGAGTCAATACTGACTAAACAAACCCGAGTGAAAACAAAATGTGTGCTTTATTAAATGTAGTCCGGAAGGAGATAAAACTGACAGGAAGTTGGCTCAGAAGGTTCCGTAGTAAAACAAAAACACGTTTAAGAGCTGGAGTTTTTAAAATCAAACTTCTGGATGTGAAATCCTGCAGGTTCAAATAGTTTAAATAAGGATTAAAGGAAAATAAATAAATGTTTTATCACGTTCAGGTAAAGTTAAATCAATTTTATTTTGAGTGTTTGAGTCGATGCTCCGAGTTTTACCATTTACTTAGAACCGCAAACATGTTAAAAGCTTAGGAATGCAAAAAAAACTAGAAAACTTTCAACAGAACCAACACATTGGGTCAGATGGTTCTGTTTTCTATCCTGTCCTCGTCTTCAGCATGTCCTGAGAATGTCCATTTATTCTCAATCTGTCCTCCATTCAGTCCTTTGTCAGTGTCTTCAGCCTGTCATTTGTTCTGTCCTCCGTTTTTCAGTTTGTCCTTAGCTTAGCTTGTCCTTCTTCCCTCAGACCATCTTTTTTTCCGGTCCTCAGTAAGTTCTCAGGTTATCCGTTGATTTGTCCTCAGATTGTCCCTCTATCACTCCTGTCCTCGTTGTCTGCTGTCAGTATGGCCATTTGTCCTCTCTATCCTTTTTTCTGTCCCCAGTATGTCCCAGCTAAAGGAGAGACGGTCATTGGTATTGTGACAGCTAAAGCTGGAGATGTCTTTAAGGTGGACGTTGGTGGCAACGAGCAGGCGTCTCTGTCCTACCTGGCATTTGAAGGTGCCACCAAGAGGAACCGGCCCAACGTCCAGGTGAGACCGGGAGGACAGGTGGATGTCCTGCAGCGTCTCTGAAAGTTATAGTCCAGTTCTGACAGATCCTTTCTGTCTTAAAGCTCAAGTAAAATAAAAAAACTGTTTCAGAACTTGAATCCAAGTTTCTGAGACGGTCAGCTGATGCCCCGCCCCCTGTGTGTCACCTATGCAGGTAGGAGATCTGGTGTTTGCTCAGTTCATCATCGCCAACAAAGACATGGAGCCGGAACTGGTGTGTGTGGACAGTTCGGGTCGGGCCAACGGGATGGGTGCGTTTGGAGCAGGAGGTCTTCTCTTCAAGGTGTCTCTGGGCCTCGTCAGAAGGTACTGTAGAGCTCTACCCAATCAGCAGTCCAGTTTTTAGTGATTGACAGCTCAACTGAGCCAATAGGAGCTCAGACTCCACAGGTTCCATTGGTTTTATAGAAAAGGCTGGAAATCCTTCAGTATTTGGACCAGGACCGGGTCAGATAATAGGGCTATGACAAAGATACCTGACAGAACCATCTTTGAGCTTGTGTCTTATTGGAGCAGAACCAGTTTAACTGTAGTAGGTCCTGATGGTTCTGATCCAACAGGAACTCTGTATGCTCACCCATTTGTCTCCTCCCCCCACAGACTACTGGTGCCCCACAGTGACATCCGGACCGACTTGGACCAGCTCTTCCCCTGTGAGCTGGTTGTGGGAATGAACGGCCGGGTTTGGGCCCGGTCGCCCAGCACCCAGCAGACTTTGATTGTTGCCAACCTGCTGCAGAGCTGCGACACCATGACGGCGAAGCAGAGGCAGCAGCTGTTCAGGAAGGTGCAGCAGGGAGCACTGTAGGCCCCGCCCTGACTCACCTGGACCCAGGTGTAACACGGAGCACCCTGTGCTGATTAACAGCTGATCAGTGACGTTGAGACTGAACTTTCTGTTAATCGTTCTGATCAGTTCATCAAGCAGGTCAGATAAAGGGCTGTGATTGGCTGGGGCCTGAAGAGAAACAGCCAATCACATCTCATTCATTCTCAGACACCTAATGATCAATGCAACAGTTCAGTATTGATCAGTAGTTTTTCTTTTGATTGATTAAACAGTGAAGGTACTGATCAAAAGACGAGTCACACAACAGAACTGCAGCAGACCGACTCGTGTATCATTCTGGATCTGTCGCACAGACTGCTTGAATCAAACAGCTGCAGCTATTAAAATAAAAAAACTGCATACATATATTTAAACAAAACAAAAAAACTTGTTTGAAACTTTTGGCAGAAATAAATTCAGTTTGTAAGTTTGTCTCATTGTTTATTTTATTGATTAAACTTTTTTTTTTAAACGACAAACCGACAGGTAAGTTCATCACTAAAAACTGCAGGAAGTGTTGCCGTGGAAACAAGGCAGAAGGGTCCAGACCACAGGCGTCAAACTCCCGGCCTTGAGGGCAGGAGTCCCGCAACTTTTAGATGCGTCCCTGATGCCACACAGCTGAATCAAATAAGGAAGTCATTAGCAGGTCTTTGAAGAACTTGACTGCACTGAGAAGCTAATTCAGTCATACGATTCAGCTGTGTGGCATCAAGAGACATCTAAAAGTTGCAAGACTGACCCTCGAGGCCTGGAGTTTGACACCCCTGGTCCAGACGGAACAAAATCCTCAGGGTCAGACTGGGAGATCCAATCTGAGAAGAGTACCACCAAAACCTCATCAGGACTTCAAGCCAGGAAGAAGTTGCCCTGTTGTGCATACATGAAAACTACTTCCTGTCAAGACAGGAAGTGGTCTGAGAAACTGAGACAGACTCGATTCAGTATTTGGGTTTATCGGGTTCCAGTAACGAGTTTAACTGGTCACTGGTTCCCTTTAAGGCACATTACAGGCGATTGTTTCACATGGTTTTGGTCTGAAGGTAAACAAACAGAAGTGTGCTCCCTACATTCAGAAAACATTCAACGATCAATGCGTCGTCAATAATCAGACGAGCTCATCCAGCTGTCAGCTGATTCACAGGATCAATAAAGTCTTTGGTACCAACAGCTGCAATAAGGACACTTAAAAACAATCACTTAACCTCAATCATCCTGAATATGAGCTGATCGATCAGCTGCCAGTCATCAGCTGATCGATCAGAAAACTCCAGGGTTACATTTGATTAGAAACATTGATCCCTGATCAGAGCCGATTATCAACTACGTGCACTTTGACAAGATTCAGGTTAAACCAGGCCCAGGACTTCATCTGGATCCACAGATTGTAAGACCCATTTCTTTGGTTCCTGATCCAGCTGCTGATTTGGTTTTTGACCCATTTTCTTTATCTGGTTCTTAATCTAGGTTCTGATTAAGTTCTTGATACGGTTCCTGACCCAGGTTGGACGTCCTGTTTGATTTTTTTGTTTGGCTGCAGGAAACGAGTCTGGTTTGTGTTCACACTGTCTGCACGGTTCTGGATTGACTGAACACAATCCATCGACACAAGATCCTCAGTTGTGCTTGTTTGTCTCCATGAAGATGAGAACAGGTCAACATGTCCAGGTGCTCCTCTGAATAAACCGACCCGAGAAGTCTGATCCAGTTTTTGTGGGGGGGCAGAACCAGGTAACCAATCACAATTATTACTCTGGATGAATCAGAATTCAGCCAATGAGATTGGTCGATCATGGCTGGATCAGAAACCAGGAAGCTGTGGTACTATCCAGACCAGGAACTGGTCTAACCTCACCCTGTCTGTTACCCATAACTCCCCACCAACTTTTTGACCCTGCAGGGTAACTTTCAAAATAAGAGTCTTGTTCAGAATGTGCTGCAGCAGCATCTGATTGGTTCTAGCCGACCAATCAGAGACGAGTCCTCGGGGGCCCGCAGGAAAAAAGTATGTTCAGAAGGTTCAGTTCAGGAGAACCACAACTTAAAGCTTCAAGTGTCAGCGTGTGGGCCCAGGAGCCCCTCAGGGCTTCCCCACGTCCACATTGATCCTGATGTACAGGTCCAGTTTCTCGATGGCCACCACCTTGTAGGTCAGAGAGTTGATGCCATCGTTGTTCATCGTCTCTCGGGTGTGGGCGATCCGGTCGAACCTGGAACCAAAACGAACAGAACCATGATAACAGAACTTCAGGAGTCAGAACGTGGTTTGGTGTCTGACAGGATGTTGATACCTCTGAGGGTTCGGGTCGTTCTGCTTGTCTCGGTTGTGTCTGATCATGCGGCACTTCCCCACTTCCCCGTTGGGTCTGGAGATGGTCATCCCTTTGAATGAGAGCCTGAAATACAGTGATGATGAATACAGTTGAATTCAGTTCTTGGAGCTCACACAGAGATTCTAGGTGTTCCTGGGCCCACTGGTCCTGTCATTTAATAACCTATATGGACCTAATTTTTCTTCTTCATCTGTCTGGTTAACTTAAACTTCTGCAGAAAATGGACTGAATCACACGCATCAGAACCTATCTTCTGGTTACAAGTTCAAGATATATTCAGGTTCTGGACACATTTCGGTTCTCAGTGAACATCACATCATAGTTTAGCTGAAGTTTAATTAACTTTTTATTTGACTTGTTCAAAGGTGACTCTGATCATCTCAGATGTGTGTTGTGTAGTGGTTCTGGGGGTGGGGCCACATTGTAAACTCCTAAAAATGAGTCTAGATTTAAATTAATTAATTCCATCAATCATCCATCCATCATCTTCTGCTTATTCTGAAGTCGGTGACAACGGGCAGCCCTGGTGGAGGCCAACTCCAACCCTGAAGGGGTCTGACTTACTGCTGGCAATGTGAACTAAACTCTCGTACCACTTGTATAGGGTCAGAACAGTCAGTAGCAACGAGCCCCCAATCCTAAACTCGCGGAGCACCCCCATAGTGTACCTCGAATAACATGGTCGAATGCCTTCTCCCAAGTCCACAAAACACATGTAAACTGGATGGGCAAACTCCCATGATCCTTTGAGGACCCTAGTGAGGGTAAAGAGCTGATCCAGTGTTCCACGGCTGGGAAATATTTAAATTTCAAGAGTTTAAAATAAATCTAAACATGATAAAGTGCTGGTTCTTCCTGCTAGAGATGTTTGAACATTAACAGATGTGCTCGCAGGTCGCTCCTGCTGGTATTTCCTGGTTCAGGATCTGAAAAGTTTGAGTACCCTTAGCTTCAGAAATGTGGCTCGATGGACACCAGGTGGCACCAGATGACCCAAATGCATTCATTCAACCTTTATTTATACATGTTAGTCTCATTTACAAGACAGACCTGTTTTACGTGAGAACAACATCTCTGATGTTACAGCCTTCGCTGTCAGTGACGATGATGATGAGTGTGAAGTGTCAGGTGAGACGTACCTGTTGTAGATGTCGTCGTCCTCTCCTCCCCAGCCCCAGTAGTTGTTTGGGAAGCCGTTGATCTTCAGGAATTGTTCTTTACTCATGGAAGAGACTCCTCCGAAGTACTGGTTGTACGGTAACCTGCCGGAGGACAGAGTTTACAGTCCTGAGAAAAAGACGCTTCGCCTTCTTTCAGTTCTGAGGTTTTATGTATCAGGAAATAAGAGCATGATCTGATCTTTTATCAGGTTCTAAAATGACTTCAAATCTAACATGAAGTGAACAAAACCCCACAACAGATTCCGCCACGTCATGCACGAGTCCAAATCTCTTTTTAAGACTAATTCTGGGCTAGTTTTTAGGCTGATTCTAGATCAGGTTTTAAGGTTTTCAGGATGGTCCAGGTCACATTTCTGACTTCCTCTGGATCAGATTAAAAACAAATTCCAGGTCGATTTTCAGCCTGATTCTGGATCAGTTTCTAGGCTGATACAGGGTCAGCTTTCAGGATGATTCGAGTCAAGGGTCTGATCAAATCTAGGTTAGATTTCAAGCTGATCCTGGGCCAGTTTCTAGATTGATTCAGGATTGGTTTTTAGTCCCCTTCTTTATGAAGACCGATGTGACTTGCTTCAGACCGGTAACATTATTTTCCTGACAGGAAACTGCAGCTGCTGTGCGCTGGCGATGGGGTAAACAGGAAACGGAAAGTGAGAACCTTTGCTTGGGGTTCTGTTTCAAGGACCATCTTTTATCCGAGACGTCCCTGTCAGTACTTCCTGTTCCTCTTGAAAGCTGCTGACCTAGGGTCTGTTTATCTAAGTACAGACGGAGACCTGGCTTCAGACGCATTTCCTACATGAAAATCTTCCATCAGAGTGCGGCTGTCTGTGGTCTGAAGTCTTGTTAGGCACATTTACACAACTTTAATTAAACAAAGAACCAACCCACTGATGAAATGCAGCAGGACTGAATCACAGTTCCTGATCACCACCTGTCAGAAGGTAAAACCTGAGGCTCACACTCACCTGAAGCCGAACTTGTCCATGGACACGGACAGGTGTCTCGGCTGGCTGAAGCAACCGTAGGTGTTTCTGTCGTCCATGGGAATGAGGTCCACGTCACTGAACACAAAGCAGTTGTAGTCGTAATCCTTCAGCGCCTCTGCGTAGCCGATGTTCAGCAGCTTGGCCCGGTTAAAGGTCTCATCCCCGTCCTGACATACACACACAGAGTCAGGGTGAGGGAACAGATCTAAAATATAAAACCAAACAGAACCAGAACTAGAACATGTTCGAGTTCTCTTTGTTTCACTTTGTTTATTTTTCAACATCATCGACGTCAGAAAGGTTTTTTAAGCTTCCAGAACACGAGAGTTTCTCACGCTGTGAGCAGATGGGTGCAGAAAAACAGACCAGGTCAGGTCTAAACTGATCCACCTGACTTCACCTGGACATCAGGTTGGAGCAATGTCTCAGCAGAATCAATGAAGAAACTTGTGTTTTTATAAATTAGGTAAAAAAATCGGACTAAAAGCAGCAGCTGTGAGCTCTCAGGCGTTATTTATTGAACTGCTTCAGTCAAAGTGCGTTTGACATACGCTTCTTTAAGCAAAGCCGCAGGTGCGTTCGTCTTTCAGATCCTGCTCCGTCACGTCACCTGTGTTTCAGAAGCAGAGCCCAGAGTGACACCGACTCTTCCACCTCCTCCGGTTTCCATGGCAACCAGGTGGCTTTGCACAAACAGATCTCAGGTTACCAGGTGACCAACATTAAAGTCTCAGGTGGGAGGTGTTGGGTTTTCTTCCTGTGGGAGTTTGATGCTATGACTGCATCACCTGTGCAGGTGTGTTTGTGCTGCAGGTGTTGACTGATGACTTCGCAAACATGAGACACCAACGGGTTAAAAAAAAGGTTATTTACACACAACATGCTTTCTGAGACTCAATGAGCAAGAGGCAGAGACCAGTCATACCTTTACAGGTTTATGATACTTATGTGCAGGAGGCGGGGCCTAAATTCCAACTTTATAAGTTTATTATGGTTGTGAGCAGGAGGCGGAGCCAGATTTCTTACCTTTACAGGTTTATGATGTGAGCAGGAGGCAGGGTCTAAATTCCAACCTAACAGATTTTTTTATGGCTTTAAGCAGGAGGTGGGACCATTATATTATTATATTGGTTATTATAAAACAGCTTTGATCAGATGTAAGTTTAAGTCAACTTTAAAGCTGGTTCCTATAATCGGTCTTCCTGATGGCAGCTTCAGTACCTGAACAAAGAAATGGAACAAACCCACCTACTGTTTGTTGATCGAAGCGGTTAGTGAAGACTGAAAGCACACCTGAGAGGTGAACTAATGAAGTTTACCAAAGCTGGGTTTTCTCTGAATTATCCCTCAAAGACAGCAGGTTCTACGAAGATGGTTCTAAAGATCTTTAGCAGGTTTTTCTCTGCATGCTCAAAGAAAAAGGAGTATTAGTAGATCTAATAAGTATCCGACTCCTGATTGATCAAAAGTTGCTTGGCTCAGATAATCTATGCAGAAATGGTTTTTGGAAGTTCATACTTGCACTTGCTGCTCAAAAAGTGTGCCCTGTTCTGGAACGGTCTGATAAGAACATGCACGTCACATACGGATGTGACGTGCATGTTCTTATCAGACAGACGTTGAGCTCATCAACGTTGAATGTTACTGAGCTTCAGATATCTGTTGGATCATCTGTTTAAACTGGAGATTAAAATACCACCAACTGATTAGTAACCTGCCCTGGAGCAGCTTGTTTGTTAAAGTGAGTAAAACATCATGTCCCATTTGGACTGGCAACGTACTCTCCTAGCTGATGACTTGAACATCGCTTGGAACTATTTTCAGAATAGTTTCATCTGCTTTGGTAAATAAACATGCCCCTTTTCGCCAGTTCAGAATAAAAGGCCGAGACAGCCCCTGGTCTACTCCAGAGCTAGCTGACCTACATAGGAGATCAGCTTTGAGCACCAGCCAGACGTTCTGGCTCAGACACCGACTGGTTGTATTTTTGACAGATGCGGAATAAATGTACAGCTTCCATCAATGCCACAAAACGTAATTACTTCTTATCTCAGACCTCCAAAGATCTAAATGATCCTAAAAGATTCTAGAAAACCATCAAATCACTCTCCGGCAGCTCTCGTTCATCTGATCTGCATCACAACATCTTGTTAACTCTGTTCCTGAATCAAATAAGCACGAGACCTTGAACTGTTTCAACAAACATTTTGTTGCTTCTAGTTCCTTGTTTGCCACAGTTACTAATGGAAATACAGCTACTTCTCCTTTAAGCCAAACATCCACAAATCATTTCTCTCCAAGTTAGTCCTTAGTAAACCACACCTTTTCATTTTCATTGTTTTAGGTTAGTGAGGTTAATAAATTGTTAAAAGGTCTAGATTCTAAAAAATCTGCAGGCCCTGATGACCTTCCACCTTATTTCTTAAGACTGGTCGCTCATATCATTGTAAAACCAGTGTCACATCTTTAACCAGTCCATAAGCCAAGACACTATTTCAAACGCTTGGAAAACAGCTTTTGTACTACCTTTATTGAAGGGAGGAGACCTCACCATATTGAACAACTATCGACCAATCTCTAAACTCTGCATTTTAGCTAAGGTTCTAGAAAAACTGACAAACTCTCACATCAAAATTACCTGGACTCATTTAACATCTTACCTCCCCATCAATCTGGTTTCAGGAAACAACACAGCACAACTGCCTCGCTGAAGGTTTTTAATGACATCGTTGAAGCATTGGACGCTAAGGATTATTGTGCTGCACTTTTCTTAGACCTGTCTAAAGCTTTTGACACTGTGGATCATAACACCTTTTGTCATAAGCTCTCAGAAACTGGTTTCTCAGTTCACACTATTGGTTGGTTCTCTAATCATCTCTCAGATCAGAGGAAATGTGTTCAACATAATGGTACTTCTTCCAGTTATCTAACAGTTAACAACGGTGTACCACAAGGTTCAGTCTTAGGACTCACCCTCTTTACAATCTACATAGGTAATGTAGGTCAGAGCATCTCTGATGCATCCTTACTCATTCAACCTTTATTTAGACAGGTAAATCCCATTGAGCTCCATTTATTTTTAAATTAATATGGGGTTTTTTTTGTCTACTGTTGTCTGCTGTTCTCATCATTTGTTAAAACAGGTCTCTCTTGTAAATCAGTCCTCGAGACTCGCTGAGACTAACCTGTATAAATAAAGGTTGAATGAATGTTATTTATCCTGACTTCTAGCTCACCTGTCAGGTGCTTTCAGGAGGCAGAAACAGAAACAAGCAGCAGAGAGAAACAAGAGAAGAAAGATGAATTACCAGAGCGACCCCTCAGCCATCACCAAGCAGGAAGTGGGGTCTCGGCAGCTCCAGCGACCACAGCCACTGGTCAGAAAGGCCTGACATGCAGAGGAAGGGGGAGGGGCTAAAGTGGAAGAGGATGAGGAGGATGATAAGGAGGAGGAAGCAGAAACAAGAACACCTGTGAGTTAGAGCAGCAGCAGAAGAAGAAGAAGAGAGTTTAGAGTCACATCTCGTCAGTAAACACGCGTGCTGGATTCATGGTTACAATGTGACACATTTCACCCACATCAATCTGTGACAGTTCACACAGTTACTGCAGTTGAACCGGGCCGAGTCGACACTGAGACGGCAGAACCAAGGCATTCTGACACAAATCGCTGCATAAACTGACCAAAATCACAGAGAGAACAGAACCCCTGACCTCATTAGGTTCATAACCACGTCCTGTGTAGGGACATCTGAGTAAACATCTGGACCCAGATCAACCACAACCTCTGGGAAAACATTTGGAACCAAAGATCAAAAACATCTGGACAAACATATATAACTACCGACTGAAAACAACCACTGGTTAAACATCTGGAATACACAACCCCTTGTAAACATCTGCAAACACATCAAAAACATTATCTGAGGGGGTAAACATTTAAAACCATCCATCCATTATTTTTACCCGCTTCTTCCTTTTTGGGTCGATGGGGGTCATCATGCCCATATCCAGCATTCACTGTGCACGGGGCGGGGGACGCCCTGGACAGGTCTCCACTCCAGTCCATCACAGGGAAACAGAGAAACAACCATTCAGTCTCTCACTCACACCTAGGGACAATTTAGAGTTGCCAATCAGTCTAACATGCATGTTTTTGGTCTGTGGGAGGAAACTGGAGTACCTGGACAAAACCCACACATGCACAGAGAGAACATGCAAACTCCACCCAGAAAGGTCCAGGGCCGGGATTTGAACCGGCAACCTTCTTGCTGAGAGGCAACAGTTCTTCCAACTGAGCCAAATAAGAAAAAATATCTGGGACCACAGATTAGGAACCAACTCTGGTTAAAACATCTGAAACCAAAGATAAACATCTGGAACCACAGATCACAACCACACATTGGGCAAACATCTGGAATATCAAAATCATCACAAGCCCTTGTAAACCCATGCAAACAGAACAAAAACATTAACTGAGTAAACAGCTAAAACCAAATATCAAAACATCTGGGTCCATAAATTAAGAACCAACTCTGGTTAAACATCTGGAACCACAGATCACACAACCACTGGGCAAACATCTGGAATACCAAAATAATCACAACTCTTGATAAACATCTGAAAACTGACCAAAAACCACAGGATTAAAAACCAACTCTATTTTAACATCTAGAACCAAAGATAAACATCTGGAAACATAGATTAAAAAAACAACTAATTAAACATCTAGAACCATAGATAAACATCTGGAAACACAAATTACATGCAACAGTTAGGTAAACATCTGGAACCAACACCGATTAAAAAAAACAACTCTAATTAAACATCTAGAACCAAAGTTAAACATCTGGACCCACAGATCACATACAACTGCTGGGTAAACATCTGGAACCACAGATCACATACAACCACTGGGTAAACATCTGGAACCACAAATTAGAAACATCTGTTAAACACCTTGAACCAAATATCAAAAATATCTGTTAAGCATCTAGAACCACAGGAAAAAAAAGCCACATCTGGAACCACCTTTATTCGACATGCAACCTGTCATCATCGACAGTTGGTTTTCTTCACACCATCATCAGTCAGAATGTTCAACTGCTGTATAATTTTCTGCCTCAGTTTTTTTTTTTCTTGTTTAAAATAAATCAGCTGGTTGAACATCGTCCAGATGTTCTGACTGAATGTTAATAATCAAGTGACTCCTGTGACAGATCACTCATCATGGACAATGAAAGCTGCTCGTTTTCACACTGAAAGGAAAAATCTCTGAACGTCAGATGATAAAATTTGAGTTTCTTTACAGTACAAGCTGTTACTCCAGGATGCATTCCCTCAAGGTATTCCAGGAAATTCCAGATTTCATTAAATAGAAACACCTCGGGCTAATAGAGACGTGTCATCACCACAGCAGCACTGAGGCCTCACACCCAACCGCTAACAGGTAACGTGTTGAGGCGATGCAGCTGAGTGCTAAGTGACGTGTTGTGGTAAAATATCTGAACAGACCTGAATTACTTTTTATGTGCGAATGAATCTCAGATTATAAAAACCGTTATTTTAAAACTTTCACTATGTAAAAATGTTTAGCAGATATTTAATCCTAAACACTGCAGTCTGGGGCGATGCTGCTCAGTGTTTGGTCATGTTCAGTCAATTTTTTTTTTTTTAGCTGAAAAAAAGTTCTAATTTTCCCAGAATGCAATGTTTTGGCTCCATATCAGGAACTTTTTTTTTCCTGACATCAGAGTAAATGACATTAAAATACTTCACAGTAGCAGCAAGAAACGACCACTTCCAGGTTTCTGCTCCCTCCCATCATGCGACACATGATTGCTTCGGTCATGTAAAGTGCTATGTGTCATCATTATATGTTCCCATATAGAATGGCAAAATTAGTTCTCTGCATTTAATCCATCACACCTGAGATGCACCCAGGTGGAGCAGTGGGCAGCTATGCAAGCACCTGGGGAGCAATTAGGAATTGGATGTTTTGCTCAAGGGGCACCATGATATTTGGGAATGGCAGGGAGTCGAACTGCGACTTTTGGGTCCCAGCTCAGCTGCCCTACCTCTACCCCATCTCGGCCCCCATGTGACCTCCTGATTACTTTGGTCATGTGACCTATTATTGCTTCAGTTGTGTGACCCCCTGATTGCGTCAGTCATGTGACCCCGATTGCTTCAGTCATGTGACCACCAGATTACTTCGGTCGCCTGTTTGATGTGAGTGATGCTGTGGCTGGGACACCAACATTAAGTTATGTGGATCAAACCTCATCAGTGATCTGACCATGTCCCTCTGAGGTGCCAGCGTACCTGGTTGATGACGTAAACACCGTAGTCCAGCTGCTGCCTCTGCAGAATGGGGTGCAGGTAGTACAGCCAGAACTTCAGGTGCTCGTCTCGCTTGCGGAACGGAATGATGACGGCCACCTTCTGCAGCGCCTCGCAGTCTTTGGGTTTGAAGCGTCCACCCTGCTGCAAATTAGGGTTCTCATTCTTTACTTGCTCCAGGGTCACAGGGATGTTAAACTCCACCCTCAGGGGCCCCACTGTGGACACAAACAGCCACAGGTTAGAGAAACAACAGAGAATTCCAGCTCCTCCTCCTCTTCAAAATAAAGCTGCATCAAACAAACAAAACATTAGGTTCATTAACAGGGTCAGGGGTTGTACTGTGGACAGACAGTCCAGTCAGCTGGAGGGTTTAACACCAACCCCAACCTGTGACAGTAAGTCCCTCCCCCTCTGTGACTGACTGAAATCTGATCAGCACACCTACAGAAACTACCTGAAAGGTGAGGGATGGGGTTTTGTGACATCTGACCTCAGACAACTTAGATCCACCAGTCAACCATCTCGTTAACTCATTAACTGGTAAACCCAGTTAATGAGTTAACTGAAAGCTGCTGATGTTGCTAAAATACAACATGGCGGCTTCTGTAAATCGAGTCCTACGAGATTCTATTTTAAACATCCAGAAGAGGTGGGGACATTTGGCCTATTATTAGAAAACGTGTGTTAGTAGAAACAAGGTGGGTCAAGGAACAACGTCAATTCTCAGTATTCATGTCAGACAGGTAGAACAGGTGTGCTCACCTGTTTCTGCCACCCAACTTTAAAAAGACTTCCTCCCAGAGGGAACTATGCAAACTCAGACAATGAAAATGTGTCGGTGAGAGCTTATCAAAGTCAGACTTTCTGTTACACTGAAAAAACTTAACCTCTGAGTTCCAAGTTTTTAATCAGCTTTTTGAGTTTTAGTAAATATACTGATCAGCAGACCCCTAGTTGATCAGAGGTGGTTTTGGAAGGACATTAAAGTAACTGTTGAACAAAGAGGAAGTTCATATCTGGAGCGGTTGATACGCTGACACCTGTTGCTCGACACGGATCTGACAATGTCCCATTATCAGCCACAGAGGTGCTCAAAGTGAAACGTTAGCTTGAATCAACAAGGAAGCTTGTGTTTCACAAATCTGGTCAACATCTGATGAAAACTGATCAATTTTAAAAATAAAAATCTCATCAAAATCTTGAAAAACACCCATTGTTGTTGGTCAGCTCAACGTCTTCTCAAGTGGTTTTTTTTTTAACACAATACAGTGTTTTAACAATTATGTGTCGTTTTGCAGTGACGTGTTTCAGTGTAACGTTCCAGTGACGCGTTCCAGTGTAACGTTCCAGTGTAACGTTCTGTTTTAGTGTTTTGTAGCAGGTGTTGCATTCCAGTGTATTGTGTTCCAGTGAGGTTTCTGTTAATTGCTGTGTTTCAGTGTAACGTTCCAGTGTAACGTTCCAGTGTAACGTTCCAGTGTAACGTTCCAGTGTAACGTTCCAGTGTAAAGTTCCAGTGTAACGTTCCAGTGTAACGTTCCAGTGCAACATTTCAGTGTAACGTTCAGGTGTAACATTCCAGTGTAACGTTTCAGTGTAACGTTCCAGTGTAACGTTTCAGTGTAATGTTCCAGTGTAACGTTCCAGTGTAACATTTCAGTGTAACGTTCCAGTGTAACATTCCAGTGTAACGTTCTAGTGTAAAGTTTCAGTGTAACGTTCCAGTGTAACATTTAAGTGTAACGTTCGAGTGTAACGTTCCAGTGTAATGTTCCAGTGTAACGTTTCAGTGTAACGTTCCAGTGAAATGTTCCAGTGTAATGTTCCAGTGTAATGTTCCAGTGTAATGTTCCAGTGTAATGTTTCAGTGTAACGTTCTGTTTTAGTGTTTTGTAGCAGGTGTTGCATTCCAGTGTATTAATGTGTTCCAGTGATGTTTCTGTTAATTGCTGTGTTTCAGTGTAACGTTTCAGTGTAACGTTCC